AAATCAACCGTTTATACTTGTGTGGATAACCATATTCCAGTTGCCTACCTAGTTTCCTCCTCCTCAGCTCTGGAGACCTGACCACGCACCAGGCGATCGGCCAGTTCGGCGCTCTCGGCCTCCAGCAGCTCATTGCGCTGCTTCAGCAGGCAGTTCTCGCGTCTCAGTCGCCGCAGCTCGGCCATCTCCTCCTGCTCCTTCTTCTTGAGGTCCTGGTACTCCTTCTCCATCTTCTTCATGCGCTTGGTGTTCAGCTTTATGGAGTAGGCCAGATTGAAGAAGCCCTCGACATCCGCCTCCACGCGACCGGGCAGCTCCTTTTGGAAGAACTTGAGCATGGCCTCCATGTCCAGGCAGAGCAACGTTTCCTTGCCGGTGAGCAGCAGGGCCAAGGCCACCTTGAATATGAACTCCATGCCCTCGCTGAGGAAGACGTCCATGATGCGACAACTTAGATTGACGTTCAGAGTGGTCGTGTATAGGGTGAGGAACCAGCTGGAGGCGTACATGGTCGTTTGGAAGCCCTGCTGCTGGAAGTGAATGTGCATGTCGGGTATCTGCTCCTGCACCAGATTCTCCAGCTGGTACATGCACAAGCCCAACTCCGACATGGATGGCTTGAACATGTGGCGCATCCGATGCTGCTGCATGATCTGCACGAGCACAGCGAATGCCTCCTCCTCGGGCATTTGCATCAGCAGCAGTCCAACGATGAAGCCTGAGCCCTGGCAGTAGCCCACCTCGCGATCGTGTAGGGAATAGGCCTTAATCACATTGAACAGTGCCTCCTGTCCGGGTCCATCCTTCTCCTTGAAGAACTCCACCTCGGGATAGGTGCGGGCAATGTCCCGTCGTATGACCTTCTCGCAGGCACTGGTCGCCTTGATGTACTCCGCATACTGTTTCTTGTCGCCCTCGGAGGCTCCACTCAGCTGCTGCCACACGATCGCCCGGAAATGGTGTGGAATTCCACGGCGGACCAGCTCGCTTACGCAGGGATTCTTTCGTTTCAGAGATCCCTCCCAGTCATTGAGGATGGTGGCCCACGTCGTCCAGATGTCCTCTTCGGCCACCGAGTTTCCACCTGGAGCAAAGACACTGGTTAATCATCGAGTTATACTTGCCATCATACTTATACTTACTCGACGTAAGGCTGATCTGACTCGTGTCCGAGTTCTTGCGACTGTGCGTGGAGTGCAGAGAGTTGAGGGACTTGGCATCGCTCTCGATGAGCTTGTTGGCCGCCTCCAGCTTGGCCAGCAGATCCATCTCGGAGGTGGGCAGGTTCTCTTCTCCGGGAAGCGCGCCGCCCTTCACGTCCATTTTCGCTTGGCTCTCGGCTGATGAGGCAGTGGTCGTTGTGGTCAGGGTCATCTTCTGACGCAGAACGACGTTCTCCGATCTCCGATCTCAGTCTATACTCCCCTCTTTCAGAATCCTGGCTTCCTTTCTGGGTCTACCTTTCCCTCGAACTCGACCGTTTCGATCTGCAGTGCTACTGATCCTGATTCGTGGCTAATAATCCGCTGGTGATCCTCTAAAACCGCCACATGATGCTCCCAGTTTCGCACACTGTAAGCAAACAAAAAGGGAAATAGTCTTTAGCCAATTTATCAATTGAGATGGTAGCTGGCGAAACTGAAGTTACCGGAATTCGAGAAACCAGCGAAATGAACTCCTCTCGAGATCTGGCATGTGCCACATAATGGAAATACTACAAAATACTATATATATATATTAAACAAATAGAAGCGAGTGCAAAGTATTCCACTCTGTTTGCCAGCCTCTGTGTTTTTGTTTTCCTCTTGTTTTGTTTATTATTCGTGCGCCCTACAAAACCCGTGCTTATAAAGCGGGTTAGAGGGGCGGACAGCGGGGGCGGACCTGCAACTGAACAATGGAAAAAGCTGTCGGGGCTTTCTGTTGATTGCCTAGGCGCAATTTCTTTGCGGCGGGTATGTTCAACCTTACCTCGCAACTGGATCAAGTTTAACTTTCATCTTTTTCACTTCCCAATACAAAAAAGCAGCGAAAAATGCTTCTCAAATTAGGTAATTAAGTCGATTAGAAAATAAGTAGTTCAAATTAAAGCAGAATTTGTTTCGATCCCAGAAATGCAGAATATCAGAACTAGTGTCTGAAAAATTCACTTATTTATATTTATATCATTATTATTATATATATTACTTCAGACACATCACTCCTAGCTTGTAAAATAAGAACTATGTTCAAAGAGAACACCATATTTTTATCAAGAATTTCTGACTGGTCTGGGTCTCTCGACAAAAACATAATAAATCCAAAGGAAGTTCAAACTTGTTAGAAAAAACACAACAATTATCAATTTTGAGAGGAAAGATAGCCGAAGTCGGGGGGAAAAAACCATAAAAGACGCAGTATTAGATAGGTAATTGCTAAGACCCAGTTTTGATAAGTTCCACATTCTTCTTTGGGTTTTCAATCAATCAGTTTGATTATAATGCAGAAAAAATGCGGAGGATTTTTATTTTCAGTAGCAACGCTTTTATCAGCATTCTGATAATCGAATTTTATTGCCGCAGTTGCTTTTCCTATTAATCCCACATTCCTCATTACAAGATTCTACGAATATGTAATAATTGGTGGATCGGTGGATCTATGGAGTTCGAACATTTCACATTTATCAAACTTGATTGCATCATGAGCTAAGCGATATCTCAATGTGATCTTATCTAAAGGTATCAAAATTTTACTTTCCAGAATTCGGCAGATAAGCAAAGCTGTCATTTATAAAAATATCTCCCTCTACACAGAATAGTAACTTATTTTAAATGCACATTACTCGGGGTGCTATACTTTTTCTGTTCCTAATGGATACACTTGTAGTCCATCAGCTCGCTCTTAGCCCCTTCCAAACCAGCTGTTTATATCTGGCGGCACTCTGAGCCGCCTTTGGGTTTCTGTCTGCTCCGTCTGGCCATTATCTAATGGATTCCTCTGGCCAGACAATGCCACACCCCCTTCACAACGCCCCCTGCCCACAGATGGCTGCTCCTGCTCCAGTCGGTGTGGTCTCAATAGAATTGAAAGGCAAAGTAAATTCAAATAAATATGTAGGTCAGGAAACGATAAACAAGCAGCCAGTGGAATGAATACTTTTCGACTTTTCGTGAGCAAGTGCATTCAGACATTCAGATGGCTGCGTGTATGTACATACATATATGTATGTTTATGTACATACTCGTATGTACGTACATATGTATGGTGCAGTGGGTAACCACTTCAAATGATAAATCAACGTTTTGAAGTTGTGGAGCCTAATGAACGAGTTATAATTACCAACGAGGGGCTCTATATGTGTGTGTATGGCATTGCCTCTACTGCAATGTCTGCATTGCTTTTTATTTGGTCTAATTCACTTAGGCCTTAATTCACGCAAAACCTTCCATGAATCAGTCGGAAAACGTTTTAAGTCCATTAAATATTCCGTTTTGGCGTGTCTTTTCTCACAAGGCGTATCTCTCAATTTAACTACAGTAAAGTGCGGGTAGGTAAGTCCACTTGCGTCGATATTATAGCTCTGAATTGATGGACCACTTTGGTGTAGTTAATATGTGATAAAATAATTCTAATTGCCTATTTCAAGGGCTTGTTTAAACCAAATGGCTGGGTGCGATTGTAGGACAAAAAAGAAACATTATACACATATTTTACTAATTCAAAAGAATACATCTTAAAAGAAATTTGATTATAAGACTTGGGGCATCTTCGTCATTTCCTTGTAGTTAAGAATATGTTACACAAATTTAAGTGGTACCTTTCTGTGGTACCACTGTACTTTGTTGGTGTCCAGGAATGACCGTGGCCAATATCAATACACTGTACAATCTTTATTTTGCCTACTGATATCGACAAACGCGCAGTTCAAAAGCAAATAGAAAATATTAAAGAATACAATTTGTGCACCTGGGAGAAGCAAACAATAAACAAATATGATTGTTCTGAAGAAATGGCGATTTATTTATGGCAAGCTCTTAAATTGACATAACCATATCAAGTAGATCCAAACCAACACCTGCCAAGCGATTCTACCAAAATGGTTGCTCACCCATTTCTTATTTTTTTGTGGCATTTAAGAGCGTTAAATGGGACACTTAATGTGAATTGTGATTAGGTGAGTCACTGGGTGCTCCAATCATTATCATTAGGACACATGATAGCGATAAGATCTGAGGACCAACGTGACGTATACGCAACGTGTGCCGCAATGCCCCTTCCCCTTCCACCACTTATTGCTCACTTATCCCACGCAAAATGATCGATTAAAACAATACACAACACACACACACAGCCACTCAACTGTTGGGGTTAAGTGATGTTTTATTGTCTATGAAAGCAAACAATTGCATTGTCGGTACATTGCAAAAAACTGACACATGTACAGTGGTTCTACATTGTGGCCAAACGCATTCGTGACTTTTCCGCCTTTTGCATTGTACTTCCTCTTCCATTGCATGCGAATCGATGGAGGCATGCGTTTATATAGTTTACAGCATTAGGATACAAGACACCAAGGGCAAATACCATTTATCGACTTATCACTGTACACGAAAGAGCGTTAAAAATGCAACATTTCACCTCGCGAAAGGCAATGCCAGCCAAAAAGCTCGCCGTTCCAAAGTCAAAGGCAAATTGTTCAATTGCTAAAGTGCACTGAGAAAAACCGCGCGGCGCCAGGTAAATCACATAAAAGCAGCCAAATGGAAAAGATAGACATGGCGCAAAGGCAGCCACAGGTAGTATCTCATCGATACGATACGTGTTGATTAGATTTCGACACGACATACACAAAAACCCACACATGTGTGTGGGGCTGTGCGTTGGTGTGTGTGAGAAAGTAAAAGCAAAGGCAAAAGCAAAGGCAGAAGCAAAGGCAAAGGCAAAAGCAAAGGCAACAGCAACAGCAACAGCAAACGTTGCAATCGTAAAACCAAATCTCCATTGAAAATAAGGTTAGTTCACCCTCGCGATTCAGAGTTTCAGTACGAATTGTCGTGTCAAGCGCACAGGAAGCGATCGCAACCCGGATCGGATTGGATCGGCCGGATCGAGCCGCCATATGTGGTATATATACAACGAGACTTAACGGTGAACAGCGTCGATCGCATGCGGACAAACAATTAAATGTAATGCCAAACAAAAAGAAAATAGCAAATAGCAAATAGCGAATAGCGAATTGCTGCGCGAATAATAATCGGCAGTCGTGCCAATATCAACAAAATATAACCCTTATTTTTAGTAATGCGCAAGCATCGCAGTGGAAATTGCCAAATAAAACGTAAAGTAATCCGATTTCGTGTGCCACATATAAACAAGACAGCGCTATCAACTCATAATATAGATAGTTATATATATATTTATAAATAATACTCATTTAAATCGAACATTAAACCCAAACCAAACTTCTTTTGTGCGTTCTGGTAAAAACAAAAAAATTTATTACAAGCCCTTGAGTCATTTTTTTTTAAATTTAGAACAGCATTCTATATGGTTTGTTGCCTTTTCGTGCTGGTTTAACAATTGAGCAACACAAAGAAAGTGACAAAACAAAGAAAAAGTTGTTGTTAACAAGTGCAAAAAGAAAGGAACTAACTCATTAACTGGCTTGCAAACTCCACACAATTCAAGCAATCAAAGCAAATTTAACTTAAATTAATAAATAAATTTAATTGAATTATAATTTTTTTAAGTGCGTCTTAAGGAGTTCATTCTGCTTACCATTCAAGTGAAATCATCACCGATCGCGGCGCATATAAATTTCGACACAGATGCCAAGCAAATAGAAATAATTGTACCCATGTATATTATTTACTGGAACGAAAACCAGTTTTGAAACTCAAATTTCACATAGATGGAATACAACTAATGATAGTAAAAGCCAACGCACAAAACACAGCGAAATAAACGAGTTTTCAAGTTGGCAATTATAATATTTTTTTAAAGCGCTCTACTATTTTCCTTTTGTATACTTTTTGCACTGCCAATAACCATTGTGTTTTTGTTTTGTATTTTTTTGCATGTGAAGACAAGGTCAAAGAAGCGCTATAAAAAAGAGCAGAGAGCAGAAGAGAAGAGGAGAGGAGTAAGGTCGAAGTACACAAGGAAATACTAACGAAATGACGGCCAACACAGCGACGTCGGAGGAAAATCTGCTGCGAAATGGCGGACAGCCGCAGGAGCCCTCCACGCCCACCTCGGATACGGAAGTGGGCGGTGGCACGCCCACCGAACTGAGCGAGATCTTCTTTGTGGACAACAGCCGGCGCAAGCAGAGCATCAAAATCCAGGTGAAACTCTGCCCGGAAGGAGTCTACCTGCGCCGCGAAACCGACGAAGATGACCACATCAATGAGCAGCTCATCAGGATCGATGATATCATAGGATCGCGCTACGGTCCGCGATTGAAGAAGCGAGCGAGGGGTGGCCTAAACTCCTGCCGGAATCCAAATGTTTCGGGCCAGGAGGCGAATCCCGAACCGGATAGAGATAATAGCGCTTATTTGTACATCTATGCGTATCTGAAGAAGGAGAAACCACTGCGGCGCGTCCAAACGCTCAGGATTCTACGCTTCCGATCGAGCAATGACTATGCGGTGAATCTGCAGACCGCCGAGCTATGGCATCATACGATACGGAAGCACAAGCATGGCAATGCCAGTAGTTCGCCCGTCGATGGTGGCAAGCAGCTGCTCATTCTACTGAATCCGAAATCCGGTTCCGGGAAGGGTCGTGAGCTGTTCCAGAAACAGGTGGCACCTCTGCTCACGGAGGCAGAGGTGCAGTACGAACTCCAGATCACCACACATCCGCAGTATGCCAAGGAGTTCGTGCGGACCAGGATGGATCTGATGGAGCGCTATTCGGGCATTGTTGTCGCCTCCGGCGATGGCCTGTTCTACGAAGTGCTCAATGGGCTGATGGAGCGCATGGATTGGCGCAGAGCCTGCAGGGAGCTGCCACTGGGCATCATTCCATGTGGCTCCGGGAATGGCCTGGCCAGAAGTGTGGCCCATCATTGCAACGAGCCATATGAACCGAAGCCCATTCTCCACGCCACCTTGACTTGCATGACGGGAAAGAGCACACCCATGGATGTGGTCAGAGTGGAACTGGCGCCGCGGGACAAGCACTTCGTGTTGTACTCCTTCCTGTCGGTGGGCTGGGGTCTGATAGCCGATATCGACATAGAAAGCGAGCGGTTGCGATCGATTGGAGCGCAAAGATTTACGCTATGGGCCATCAAGAGGTTGATTGGCCTGCGCAGCTACAAGGGCAGAGTGTCCTACCTAGTGGCCAAGGGCAAAATGGAACCACCAGTGGAAGCGGCGCAGGAGGCTCGCGAGATTCCTGGAGAATCAGACCAGCAGAAGCGACCCTCAGCGACTGCTGCAGTAATCCGTTCTTCTCTGCCCTTGAATGCCGGGGAATTCCATGATCTACCCGAGGAGGAGGCGGATCTGGATGGAGAACAGTTTGCGGACGCCATATCCCTGGACCGTTCGGTTTATCGCCAGCACGCCGACAGTTGGCACTCGGCCATGTCCAGGAGAACGGCCTATTACTCCCTGGGAGGACCCAGTTTGCGATCCAATCGCAGCCGGATGAGCATAAGCCAGCGGATCGAGGCAGCCAATGCGGAATTCGCAGAGAAGGTGCCCACGGGCACCATTCCGGGATTACAGATGCCACTGCCCAGTAGCGAGGGTTGGATCTGCGAGGATGGTGAGTTTGTGATGGTCCATGCCGGATATACCACCCATCTCTCCACCGACGTCTTCTTTGCGCCCGAATCCCGGCTGGACGATGGCCTCATCTACCTGGTGATCATCCGGAGTGGCGTTAGTCGCCATCAGCTGCTCAACTTCATGCTGAGCCTGAACACAGGCACCCATCTGCCCATCGGCGAGGATCCGTTCATCAAGGTGGTGCCCTGCCGGGCATTCCGGATCGAGCCGAGCAGCTCCGACGGCATCCTGGTGGTGGACGGCGAGCGGGTGGACTACGGACCCATTCAGGCGGAGGTAATGCCCGGCCTGATCAATGTGATGACCACCAGTGGTCAGTAGTGTAGCAATCGTGTGTGCAATATTAAATCCGTGCGCTTTCCGAGCGAATTAGGGTCGGGAAAAGCACTGTGCAATTTGCCTAATTCAAAGCGAATGTCAATAGGTTCTTTAGATCAAATTTAGTGTAGAAGAAGCTCACTTACTGAAATTATAGAGTCAAAATTGTTGCCTTTCCAATAATATCCTCTGCTAAATCGATACCATTTCACATCTGCTAAGAATATTTTCCAAACACACGTGTCTTGACGTTTTTATGAGCTAAAGTTCTATTATCTGTGTTTCTATTATTAGTAAAACCCATTCTCATGGCTCTGAACCGCAATCTGTAATTTTTCTATCCGCCCATGCATCAAAAGGAAAAAGGAACTTCACACTATGCACTTAAGTAGTTGGTTAAGTTGTTTTCTATTATTTTTTTTTTCGTTTTAATCGGTCGGTAGTGTTAATTATTTTAAGCACCTTACGTAGACAATTAAACCAAAATGCTATAAAAAGTGGGAAAAGATTGTGTGGGTACAAGGGCTGCTGGTACTTTCAGGTGTTTTGTTGCCGTGGAAACAACCGATTCTGTTGCAAATTCAAATACAAATCATTAGCTTTGCACACTCACAAACATATTAAAATTTAGAAACGGCAGGGAATGGAATCCGGTTGCATAGCGATCTTTATCGTTATTGGACCCCAAAGTTGGGGCCTTGAGGGGCTACGAAAGCACCTGGTCGATGTTCAAGTGGGGACTTCATACTTGTGTTAATACAAACACCGATTGGCCAGATTAACCCTGACTAAATACGAAAAAACAAACCGATTGCAAGGGATCTACGGTTACCCAACAAAATGGAAAATTAACACGTCGAAACCATGTACATACTTGTATAACACTAAAGGTCAAGTTGGGTGGCGATGATAGCGCTAATCATGGAGTTCATAGTTATTTACTTATTTAATCGGGCTGCACAATAAAGCACCTTAGTATGAACTATTTAATATAGAAGTTATACAAAACCCTTTAAGGCTCATAAGAACAAGACTTTCTATTCCGAATTTGTGAAACACAAATGCCCATTACAAAAAACACATTTTTCCCAGTACTTTGTAATTATACAGCCTTTCATTTCTCTTCTATCGCACACAACAGGTGGGATTATCTTTGACAGGCACTCAAACAAGTTGAGCAAATAAAACTCTTTAATATAAATGGCATTCGAAAATGGTTATAAACTCGAAGATAGAGCAAAGACCAAACGGTGGAACTGGTAGTCACACTTCCAGAGCGGTTTCTTCGTTGATATTTGGCCCAAAACCGCTTATGTAGACGAGTCTACTGCCGATACACTGATAACAAGTTTAGCTCTTATCATTCGCACACGCACACACAGTTTAAACGGCTTGAAATATTAACAAACATGAGGTATACTTTTAGGCCATACTAGTTACTGTATTTAATTCATTGAAAAAACTGGGACACTTTGAAGGCTTTGACGTCACGGAGACACGAGAAATTTAAACTGATTTCCCATCAATGAAAATCAATAGGTATGTGTGCTGAGTTTACTTCCATTCAAAGTCGTCATACTTTTAGGCGGCCCAATTTGTGTGACAGTGCGCTATGGCTAATTGGAAACATACAAGTTACTTGCATATATTTACAGACAGCAAATGATCATCCAGTTGCGTATTTCATATTTTAATGGGCCAATCAAATAACTTAGCAAAGCATCAAGTGTAATTCTTGATGCATCTTGATGTTCTTTCCGCTAAATCTAAGCGGTTAGCTTTGCTGGAGACCACTGTACCACTAGCGTGTATATTTTTGCGCTGAATTGGCAATCCAGTGACATTATTTCACTGCCACTATCAATTCAGCGCAATGATAATTCCGACAAGCAGAAATAATGCCAGCGCACAAGTGTATATATGTAGATGTGTATGTACATATGGGCGGAATGAATAACGATAACTAATTGTAGTCACAGTCTGTTAACAGATGTTTACATTCCGCTGGCGGCGATACAAAAAGTAGCCTCTGGACACTAATTAATGGATCTTAAATTCAACAGAAGAAGCACTCCATGAGTTTGCAGCTTAAACGACAGAGGACACATCATACATGTATACATTTCTTGCATGGTCTATGGAGTTGGCCCCTTAATTATTAACGCCCACTGTGGGTTCTAAGACCTCTCAAGTTTCTACAGCCTTAAGCTTGAGTGCAGGCAAAATATGTATAAATATACATGCGCATATGTATAAATATTACTGTGTGTACATACTTACATGCCAGCACACAGAGTGAAGCACACTGGCATGTGTGTGCTGGCAGATATTTCTGCACTATTTCCAGTCTAATTCATTCATAAAAAGTTCTTCACATTTCGCTTCTTTACCTCTGCTTCTTGGCTTGAAGTCGGCAGTCGGTGGCTTTTATGAGAATCGTTAATTTCGAGCCGGCTCATGGTTTTAGCATTATACATACATATATGCATTATATATGCACGACCGTTAGAAGTCGGCAACCCACAGATGGTAAAGGCAAGTCAAAAGTACAAAAAACAGTATCACAATTTCCGATTCGATACGCGGTATTTCAATCCAATCGCTCGCTTTGTCGCAGGTAAATGTTTTCAGCCAGATCTTGTGACTCATGGCATTTGGGATGTGTTTAAATACTCCCAAAACTTGTTTTGCTCCCCCTTTCACTATCAATTTCTAAAATATCTTTTTTTAAATTCTGTATTGTATTGCTTTGTATCATTGCTTTGCCATTCATACTCAAAAACTTCACTCGAAGCCCGAATTCCTTTGTTATTAAGAAGAATATTTGGTACTCTTTAAATACCATTAAAATCCCATATGAAGCTATTAATTATAAAATTCATGTTATTACGATTTGAAAACTATAAAAATATAAATTAAAATTTAAAGCAGATTCGAAACAGATACTATTTCGAAACTTTTTTCTCAACATAGAGCATTGGGTATTCGCAAATTATAATATTTAGTTTAATATTGTGCCAGCCTCATGGCAATGCAATTTTATTTTATCTCTGCGGTTTGCTTAAATTATACATCTGCCGCAGACTGTCGACCGCAGTCACATCTGCTCCACATCTTTTGCCGACAGCCTGTCGTGCATGTGACCCATTTCAATGGACTTCACTGTACCGGGGGCGATTAGTCAGAAACCTGATGGTGAATGCTTTAGCTAATTTTTGTCCGTCTCTTTTTGACTCTTGCTACTTTCGAACAAATCACAATTTGCTTATTTCGAGTTTTCATTTTATTTTGTTTTGTTTCCGAGTTTTGTTTGGCTTTTTTGTGTGCTTTTGTTTCTTTTCCTTTTTTTGTTTTCTGTTTTTGTTTTTTGTGCCGGACAATAATGAATAATACATGGGTGACCGGAACGATAGCATTTAGCGAAGTTCATTTGCTGTCTTGCTAATTTGCGCACGCACACACGCCGCATTTGCATCTGCAATTTGCATTTGCATCTTTTAATGCATCCAGTCACGCCCCCGAGCCATAGAACACTTGGCACACTCGCGTCCATGGTTATAAGGCACATACATATGTACACAGGCAGTGCGCAGATTAGCCGATCGGTAATAGAGCACATTGGCTGGTTTCGAAACTTCCATTCATGAGTTTGAAGTATGTAAATGTAGATTAACGCAGGTTGGACTTTAAGCACCCAAAAATTCTCAAAGGAGCATATTTGTATTTATGTTGAACATAATCCCGTGGGATGGCAGAATCCTAATCATACATACATATGTACGTCTGGCCCGCACAAGAATGTCCCCTAATATCACAGCAAGTTGTTGTGCCTCGCTGTGTCCCCAATGTAATTTAAGCCCAATCATCAAAAATTCAAGAGTGCCACGCCCACGCAACCCCACACCCAACCACCGCCCACTTGTGTGTGCATACATACAGTTACCGATACGGATACAGATACAGATACAAGTACAGAACACCGATACATATAGAACCAAGCCCTGAGTTGGCCAACTCTCATTAACCCAATTTGAATTGTTGACTCGCTGGCTATCTCGCTCCCACGCACGGCAATCGAGCCCTTGGCAATGGTGTGACGTCAGTCACAGTAATCACTCGCTAATGGAAAGTGCTTACATTACATACTTACTCTTACCCTTAAGTAGTTGAAACATTTGGTAAATATAAAATGGTGTTGAAGAATGCTTTTATTCTGAAACAATGTTAAAGGCAATGTGGTTGTTCCCCGTAGCGAGCGACCACTGTCTGTGGGTGGCAATTACAAAATGCATTTACCTGTCTGCTTACCACAATTAGTGGAAATGTCAATGTAGCAATGTAATTCCCAGGTGTCGCCCCAACTCGAACACAATTTCCCATCATTCGACACGAATTCTAAACAAGTGGAAAACAAGTGCATTGTTTTCAGTGGAACCGATAGGGCGTAGTAGCCATTAAAAACAGAAGCAGGAAGGGCGAATTCGAGTCCCCGGGGAGGGAGTAAGAGGCCCATTCGATAAGAATTCAACGATTTCTTCAATCAGTCCAAAGACGCACTGCGTTCGAGTACAATTCAAGATTTGAGCACAATGAAACTCTATCGCGCAAATTTAATTTACAAATGCAGTCAGAGAAATGGGTACGAGGTTAGTTTACGCGACATTAACTGCTTCATATTTGTATGAAGTTAAGAACTATTGTGCAGTCTGCTGAAGCTGCAAATATCTACAGCACTTTTGAAGTGCATTTTTGAGTGGATAGAAAAGGGCGGCACTGTGAAATAAAGTCTGACAAACTGAAAATATGAAACAAGCGGAAAAAGCAGCCTCCAAATGGAATTATGAAATACGATTCCCCTGAGTTTTTTTTAGCCAGCCCACGGAAGCCCCCACTGGCTCCCAACTCATTAACATAATTTATTCAGCACATGATGCTGTATGCTACTAGTACACTTGAAAAAACAGCTGAGATAACGCAGAGCAAAAAGGCAATTGCATAAAGTAATTTGTTGCTTTAGCAGTTTTTATTTCAGTACTTAATGCGATGATCACGAAACCCAATGACCTTTTAACTTAATCGTTTGAAATAACAATCAATTTAAATGTCAAGTTCAATTCCACACGATTTAAAATAATACTTCTCTGTTAACAGTGTACTTATACAATTGTTGTTTCAGTTGCCATTGGCTGGAATAAGTTCCCAGTAGCATTCACAAGCGCTTCAATAAAAAGTGTTTTCAACGCAATATTTGAGCCGTTTTGGATTTCAACAGCCGCAAGAAACCGAAACCGAAACCAAGACTGAAATTGAAATGGTAATGGAAATGGAAACAGACAAAACTCCTTCACTTTCCAGCAATAATAAATAGCAAAAACTATATGTGTCTGCAATTGCAGTTGAATGATTGAGTAAAAAAAGACAAGGAATGGCCTGAAAAAAAAACTACAAGTCAGGAAAACAAACTGGCTAGCGAAAATAAGAAAACAACAAACCAACCGACATTGTTGGCCAAACTGTAAATTCATTGCTTGAAATCTGGAATTTAACCAATTACAGTGGATATTGGCTCAAACAAATACAGGAGATAAAAGCAATACAAATATAGACAAATACCCAAATTGTTTTCTAAATAGAAAAAACAATATTTGTGTTTAGACTGTTAGAAATATACAATACATTTATTTCGGCGTTATCGGGCATTCACTGTGCCCCGAAATACCAGCACGTCTGCATTGGAGATTGGCACACATATCGGTATCGCTTTACCGCTTCTGTTGTTACCTGTTTTTCGATGCTTTGGGGCAAGTAAATCAGGTAAGCCTCCAGTTGGCCGAGTGGCCACAATGACTTGGCTCCGACTGTGTGGATGCTGTACGCCGCCCCATTGTTGTTATTTTCGATATGTATGGGTTTTATGTTGTGGAAGCTATTGCCTGATTTTTACATAACGGCACTTTTTGCTTTGCCAGAAAGAGATGACCGACAAAAGGTAGCTGCGCAATCGCAAGAGACGGCATGAGGTTGTCAAATTGTTAAAAAATAAAACAAATTTCAGAGGAAGTAACCAAATGCCGATAAAGTAAAGCCAAGCTACATGGATTTTCGGTTGAGCCCCAAAAAAGGTTGCAACTCAATCATTAACTTGACTCCAAAAATTAGTATTCCCTTAAACAAGTAGTGATAATTATATACATATGTATATATTAAAATTAAAAATGCACTTAAAATGTTAACAAAATCGAAGTATTTTGGAGTCTTTTTTTCAACAGTGATCACTGTAATTTTACAGTTGGCTTACTTAATTTGCGTTTAGTTTGGTTGCGCGAAAACGTGTTGGCAAGCGCTTGATATGATCCGTTAAAAAGTATACATATTTATGAATGTACATAGATACGAAATAAATGCCGATAGGGAAACAGACTCAAGTGCAAATTATTTTTGACATATATTTTTTGCGGCGAAGGTCGAAAGATTGCGATCCAAATGGGCAACATAATAAGCAGCAAACAGCCGCCAAAATATCGTAAAACAATGCAAATAATGAAACATGGCGAAAACACTTGAGCAGATAGTTGAAAAACCCGCTAAACGCAAAGAGAATTCCGTTTGGAATAAACCAAAAAAGTATCTTGACTTTTATTATTTATTATTTTTTGTTGTTGTTGTTTCATTTTTTTTGGCCAGAGAAGGCAGAATGAAGGCTATCCTGCCCCAACCTTCCCCAGATAATGACGGATGATACACCCACACACCCACGCGCTCTGCAAATTTATGATCATAATTAACACGACGATGACTTTCTGCTCCATGTGCTCCACTAGTTTTAATGCTCGTGATTTAAATAAATAGCACAACTGAAATTTGAATAAGCACGCAACATTCCCATTCCCGAGCATAAAAAAACACCAAAAACAAAAGACTAGAGTGCGATGGGTTACTAGTTACAGCAGAGGTCAAAGGACTATGGCTGCATTTCCAAGCAAACTCCGCGTAACTAAGCAATTTTCAGCTTTTACTTATCTTTAAGATTTCAATATCATTTAGCTGAAACCCCTCAGCTGCACGTAGATATAATCTACATACGGATATAAAGCTTATCACAACCGGCAGTAAAACAAGAGTTCAGCAATCTCAAAACTGATTTCAAGGAAATGGAAAAGTTTACTTATAATGCACTGAATATGTTATATTTACTATTAAACCAACAACTCAGGAGGTTAAGTTAAGATAAATAAACTACTAAATTACTCTTTTACTCCCAATTCAATACTAATTTGTTCACCTTCACTGTCCGTTGCGTCTACGTGGGCCGTGTGCAAGGTGGCAACGCTGCGTGCAAGGTGTCGCCGAGTTGGCAATGCGCAGGCGCGGAGCGGGCTAGAGCGAGATGGAGCGATGCACAGTGGACGTTGAAAATGTAGCTTGCGAAAATGTACTCAGTTTTTATAGGCTCTCTTTTTGTATAACTCCTACACGTCACTGGTCGTAATTAATGTGTATTCTGTTTTAATGTTTTACTAAAATGCTGAGGGACAGTACAGATTCCATTACAGTTTTCACGATGCTTCATATCCTTTTCATTTATTTAATTTTACAATTTACAAAAGTGAACTGTCTTATAGGAACCACAGATAAATAGTTTGTAGTTTTTCCATCCCCAGATTGCTGAAATTTCCCACTGTGCGTTGTGCCCACGAAAAGTGGGTGGAAAGCAGAGCAAAGGAAAGCAAAGGAGAGCAAGACAAGGTTACAACAGAGCAAGAACAACAACAACAACAACTAGTGGCAGGAGCAGCTGATGCGGTGGGAGTGGAAGAGCAAAGGGAATTGGAAAGAGGAATTGGAAAAAGGAATGGGAGGTAAGCAGTGGGAAATGAGCAATGGGAATGGCAATAGGAATGGAAATGGAAAAGGAAGGAAGAGCAGGACTACCCTGTTGTCATTGTTGTTGTTGCTCAGCGAAGCTGCGAAGAACGGTGATGAACGATGATGAATGATGATGGGCAATGAGCGATGAACAATGGCCAATGGACGCTTTTAATTACATTAATGCGCGAAAATAAAGCATACAACATTTGTACCCGTTTTTCTTTTGCTGCTTCGCTAATTTGTAAAAAAAAAAAAAAATAGAGTAGCAACTCACACACACTCGCAAGCAGAAACCCACACAGACAGCGGAAGAAAGTTTCTGTATTTTTACTCACTCCGCTTTTTTTCGTTGATAATGTTTACACACACACGTAGAGTTATTTTACGGAAGAAGACGAACAAGAAGAACTGCACATAAAATATAAATAAAGAGGCTGGAACTCACCTTTGCTGCTTCTTCTTCGGCCACTGTGAATGAACCGTTAGGCTGACACAGGGGGTGGTGGTGATTGTGGTAGTGTGCTGCTGCTGTTGTTGTTGCGGCAGCAACAAATTGCCGTTGTTTATCGTTTTGTACCCTCGATTTGTTTTCAATCAGCTAGATTTTTTCACATCCGACCAAATCAACGAGTCGCGATCAACTCATATCCGATCGAGAATCGTTTGCATTAACTTTAAAATACTTGACAATTTTGACGACACCACCGAACTTTTTACTGCTGTAAACGTCATACAAACACACACACACACACACGCATAGGCAATTGCACACACCTCAGAAGCAGTAATTTTTTCTCTCGCTCTCTCTCTTTCTCTCCCTATGCTGTTCTTGATGACTTTATTTATTTTTTTGTAAAGGGAGTACTTTAATTCAGTCACTCTTTATACATCGACCGAATATTGCACTGGAAAAAAATACAGCGTTCGTTCGACGACGGTGAATTCACGAATGCTTTTTTTTCGCCCACTGCCGGTGTGACCGTCGCGCGTAAGCTGAATTATGCCGTAATAATAGTACTACCATGTTGTACAAATCGCCAAAGACCGATAAATAATTATCGATCATTATCTACTATCTCAATAATACCAAAAATACTAATGGAAGCCATTCAGCGTGGACGCAAACCATATATAAGCCATATATATTTAATGATTTCACGTACATTGCAACAAGAACGAAAATTATAATAGATTGATTAAGTTAGTAAAGTAAAAAGTTTCTGAAGTAATAAATCGATACTCAGCTTTCTAACGCACGAAAACGTTTCCTTTATATTATTCAAAAATAATAGTAAACGCTCTATATATGCGTATATATAAGATTAATCTAAAGTGGGACTAAGAACATAGTTGCTTAAATCTCATACATTAACACAATTTATTTAACTTTTCAGACAGTTCTTAGAATTGGCTAACCAAAACTCAGCGTGGTACGTAAATATGATTTTGTTGATAAATTATAAATGATCAATTATAAACGGTTAATGATTGTTGGCGCCATAACTAACCCAAAAAATGCGCCGCGGCGGATGTGTATTTTCGCGGTATCTGCTCACGGTCACACCGGGTGGATGGCGTCTTTAAGAGTGTGTAAAAGTTACCAGAAAAGTTACCTGAATGCAAACGCGGTTTTTGAAGCTGCATCTGCTGATTAGGTGGACGAACCGAGTGCTCCTCGCTCCACAAATTGGGCCAAAATACAGCTCCAATCGCACATAAGCCGTGCGCCAAACTTGCGCTCTTTGCCAATTTTCTTTTTCGTGGGAAAATCGCAACGGGCTGCATCCTGCGATAATGGATATTTTTGATATAGTCAAAGCGGCACCGCCGCCGCAAACCATTAATCTGGTGAGCCCCAAGTTCTCCACTCCGTCGCCGATACCGCCCGATTCGCCAATCGACACAAGTGGTAAATTAATCACAGTTTTGTTTGCAATTTGGATTGCCATCCAAAAATCATGACCACCATCGTTTTCTGTGTTTCTACCGCTAATAATTGTTTATACTTGCATTAATCAGACCTCCTGGAGCGTGGAAACCAATCGATCGAGGATGACTTGCACAAGAAGACAGCGATTCAAGATGGGTCGACATATCAAATCAGCGAGCGAAAATCAGAGGACATCTGTGAAGTCACAGACCCAGCAATACTAAAAAATCTAAACACGCCGAGAAAATCGAAGAAAATCGAGCACGCCGAGGATTCCAGCATAGATTTGGTGGATTCGGAGAAATCAGATGAGGATCTCGGCGAGTACCCGACCAAGGAGAGGCGTAAGAGCGTGGACACCTCGAAACCGAACCAAACCAAGAAATCCAAGGCAGCCAACTTAACTGCATCGACGTCGCGCAGAAAGAGGCCAACAGAGTCTAGGGAAGACGACGGGGCCACCGAAGAGGACCAGCAATTGGTGCTGATCAGTCCCACCAAGACGAAGGCTCAGCAGAAGATGTTCAGCGATCAGCGGTCGCCGAACCTCAATAGGAAGTTGCGGGTACTAATGCGTCGCCTGAGGCAGCCGGATATTGATTCGGCCGTCGAATCGCTGGCCAATTCATCATTTTACAATGTGATCGAGAACATTAAAAAGAGCGGTGTTAGGGGCCGTGGCAGACCCAGAAAGAGGAATTCGTCACCCGTGAAACAAAACTCATCACCAGCACAGACCAATTTCCACATCAAAGTTCCTCTGCAGAATGGCACCAAGAAGCGGGCTCTAAATGATGCCTCGCGCACGCATACACCGCCTCCCAGTTTAGCCAAGAGGGCTGCGATCGCACAGTCCACACCAAAGCCAAGTCCCAAGCCCAAGATGAAGTCGAGGAGAACATCAAGTCGCGGACGCAAAACCGATCCGGCTTTGGTTGAGCGTTATGGTGCGCGTTTTTTTGCCTGCGTGGTGAAGGTCAAGAGAACGCCCCTACCCACCAAGTGGCCGGATTGCAGTCCGCGTCCCACTGGCGGGGTCAGGAAGGGGCATCCCAAGAAAGCGGTTTCCTTCAGCGAGGCCGTCGAGATTCTGGGCAGCCCGGGAGGCTCCTCACGCCGGGCGACTTTTGGTTCGGTATCATCGAAAGGGAATCCGAAACCAACACGCCTGCAGCGTGTGGATGCCACTGGCAATGTGCTGGAGGACATAACACTGACCTCCACGCCGCTCATCTCGCCATCCACTGGCACATCGACGTCTGGTAGATCCCGCGAGCGGGGAAGGCGCCGCACATGCAACGGCTCACCTATAGGCGAACGTCTGAAGCGCTCCAACCAGCGTCTGCCGCTCTCGAGGATGGCCCGCCTGATCATAGATGACAGCTCTAAGTCAGGTGGGGATGATGAGGATGATGAGTATATCGGTATGTAGTATGCAGTAATCAAGCTTACATCATATTAGATGTAATCTCATTAATCATATCAGAATTGAGCTAAAACTAATGCAATTCTCTCCATTTTCACGTCCAGTGCCCAACGATTTGCCGGGAACGCAGAGAGCTGGAACGCCTCCTCCCAAAAAAAAGAAGATATCCTTCACTACGACCATCAGTGATGATGAGGACGAAATGCCACTCCTAAAAAAGCAGAAGGATGCACAAAGAAAGCATCCAAAACCACTCAAAGAAAGCTCAAACAGAAAGTCGGACAAGGTGCTCAAGGAGCAGAAGTCGACTGACAAAACGCGCACGGAAAATGAGATAAAAACGGAAAACTCAAATGAGATTGTTCAGGAAAAACTTCCTCCGCCTACAGTGGAAATTGAATCTGTCGATAAAGAGGAAATCAAACCACCAGCGGAGGAAATCCAATCAACAGAGCGAGAGAGAGACGCACACGAAGCTGAAACAAGTGAAGTAGAAAGAGATAGAGAAGAAAGATTTGAGGATGCAGCAGAGAAAAATCCGGATGAGGCATCTCAGCACAAGGCGGAGGAACAAGTTGTAACTGTGCAAGAGCTAAAAGAAGCGGACAATTCGGAGACAAAGTCGGAAGTTGCTCAAGCTGAAGCTCTGCAAGACGAGAACGTGGAAAATGTGGAGGAAAATGCGGCTGAAACCACTGAAAGCCTCAACAAGTCTCCAGAAAAACCAACGAACGAAGACAGGGTTGAGAAAGTGGAGGAGGAGGTCGAGCAGGCTGGGCAGCTCAGTGACTTGCCGACCCCAACACAGCTCCCTTCCACAACTAACGATAACCAAGATGACGTTTTGGAGATCCAGACGTCGTTGGATGATGTCCGTCAATTGCATACGCCACCATCCCGCCTCAGTACGCCCAAGCCACGCAGCCGCCTCGATTCCGGTGACTCCGATTGCAGCTTTAAGTCCGCCAGCGATCATGGCAAGCAGCTAGCTGGACAACCAATAGGGGCAACTGCGCATGAAGAACGCGAACCAGCGGAAGACGAGAATCGACAACCGGCAACTACCATCATCGACGACCCCATCGATTCAGCCGAACTTCCTGCCGAGCTTATGACCCCGCCCGCGGTGCCCAGTACAGTGAATGGTGATCCCACCAGCGGCTCTAGTGCAACGGCGCCGTATTTCTCGCCCATGGAGTCCATGGCCACGCTGGATGACGAGGTCTTGGGCCAGCTAGTCGGTAAGTGGGACACGAACTGCTCTATCTCATGACAACCTCAAGTAATATCAAGTATCAAATATCAGTCAAGTACATTTCTACTCTAGGTATCTTAATTAGGCACAATTTTAGTGGTTATGCGAAGAATGCTTTGATATTTGGGATATTTTAAGAGGAGCTGTGGTCATTTTAACCAAGTGAATAGAATAGATTTGAAGAGCTAACATGTCCTATATCTTACCTGTTAATTTGAATGTGCATTTTAATAACGTTTTGCTGTGCTTTGCCTTTCAGAACCCGACTTTCAGTTGAACTCCAGCCGCCATGCCATCTCCAGGGGTACACTAGACGAAATAATGACCGCGTTAGAATCCTAGGCAGCGGGCAGCTTGCGCACCAAGTAAAGATACATCCAAATGTGTGCATACACAGACATAGCTACAAACACACACAGGTTTTAAGGGACCGATTAATTTTTACATTACACTGAAATTACGATTAGTTCTTTCCAAGATCAAGAATAGACATACGTTTATTTTTAAAGACATATTCATTTTGTAGCCAAATTTACGCTACGCTCCCAAGTATTTTTGGAACAGAAAACAAATGGTGCAAACTTAAATATTTTGCATATTTTATCGTATGATTGCTGATCTAGTCAGCTGACGGAGACAAAAGTCAACACCAACTCACTCACTCAATTAGCAAGGATCGAAGGAAAATTAGGATTAAATCAGAAATCAATTTTCAATGTTTAAGCTACTTAAACAGATCCTTATGTTAATTGTACCTTAAATAATACGTATTGTTCATTTGACCTTTTTTTTAACAACATAGATTTGATATAAATAAAGTTGCGCTCATGCACACATATATATATTTATATATATATATAAATAAATAGGTATAAATCATCTTAAATTAAATGTAAATTCAATGTATTAATTGTACAACATATGTATGTATGTATGTAAAAAGAAAACAAATTAAAAATGGATAAAATATGTTGCAAAGCTTTGATGGGATTGACTTTATTTAACTGACCAACTTTTTCGATAATTTATACATTTTTAAATGGCTTACTAATATATTTGTGGCTTTCTGAAGATGTTGCCACCTTTTTGTTTTTGCGCGCGATTTGAAAACTTTGAACTTGCCATTCAAAGTTGCCATATTATAGAAATGTTTGACTATAAGCTGTACTTAAATTGTGTTAACTATCCCTAATGCTGTAATAATGTTTAATAATACTTCATTATACCTAAGAAAACATGTTATTTTGTCTAAGAATATTCTACAACTAAGGCATACAGATTGAAATGTATTACATGAAAAGACATTTTTTTTGTGACTAATTTATTAAATTATTTAAATTAAATTATTTTATTTTGCGTTACGAGCACGCACTTTATGTTCTGATTTGCTTACCCATAAGAATAACTTAAGCACGTTTTGATGAAAGCTCTATTATTTTATTTATTTTAATAAATACATATATACTTTAACAAGCTCAGCTTTTGCTTTTCAATTAAATGTATTTCGAATTTATTTAACGACTTAACGTATTTTGCAGCATTGCGACCAACGTTGCCACATGCTCGCCCCCAGAGCTGCCACCTCTGCTGGGGAGCGCCGTGTATCCAACGCAGCGCCAAAAGCAAAACAGTCGCAACTTTGACTTGTTGACGGTTGGTTCTGCTCGGGATTGTGGGGCTGCGTCGATTTCCAGAGCGTTTGGCGCGAGTGCGAATCATTTCAAAAGCTGCAAGTTGCCCGTTTGCGTGAGAGCTGCCCGGAAAATGTTGGACGCAGTGGAGCAAGGAGGGCCGGGCCCCTGAAAGCCAGCGGAGAAATTAAATAAATACCAATAAATAATTAAATGATAGCACAAGTGATTGGGCCACTGAGGCAGATCAACCAGAAACAAATACGGAGTGGAGAATGCCAATGAAGAAGGTGACGGTGAAGGAGTACGACTCGCAGGATGAGGCCAGCACCGAGCTGCTGGAGAAGCTCAAGCACCTGGACCGCCGTGTGGATGCCGCCGAGGGCGGGGGCGTGGCCAAGGGCGCGGGCGGCGGACGGAGGAGCAGCACCGCCTGCTGGCACTCGGTGAAGTGGAAGTCGGCGCTCAATCACATCGGACTGCTCGTCTCCCTGTCCATTTACTGCGGCGTGGGCGGATTGGTAAGTGAACGTGGAGCGGAACGTGTGTTCCATGGTTCCACCAGACCCGAACATAGCCAGGCAATTATTTAATTATTTTCAATGTTTTTATTTATTTATATATTGGTTTTTTTTCCCCTTTTTTTTTTTTGCTCTTTGGCTCGCCGCGAACATGCAAAATGATTTGTGTTGTTGGGCAAAAGCCGAAAACGGCTGGCGTTCAAATTGTTTGGGGCAGGAAAGGAATGCAAGACACACATAAATACAGTGCCACATCGAAGTGGCGAATTAACTGGGGCCCAATATACATTTCAAACACCTTAATGCACTTTTGCCAGCCACTTAATGTGCAGGAAAACCTTTGCATTCTACCGAAACCCATTTAATTCGGCATCAGAATTAATACATTTTCAAAAACACAGGAAATAACCATGTAGCATTGAAATTAATACGTTGAATATTAATTATGAAGCTAGCGATCGCCTACTGTACGCATGCGAATAAAAACAATAACCCAAACAGAGCGCAAATTTATTGCAGTTGCAAATAGTAAAAATTAGCCCAAAATTAAGTCATAAAACTATTTTGTACATTTAAGTGCCCCGCCTCCCCTAATTGCCACTGCACATAGCCACTAGCCACATAGCCACATATCCAGACGCCCAAATCTGTCTGGACGGCGGACAGGAGGCACTGCATCATGCGGACCACGTCCAGGCCTTTGGCCTTGTCTAAACATTTACATTTTCGCCAATGACGTCGTGGTTTCAGCTCTTGGCCAAGTTATAGATGTGTACATGCACATGTAGCTATATACTGGCCAGGGTATTTGGAACTGATGCCGTCAGTTGTCCACGACTGCAAACTACCAGCTGCAGCTAATCCGCGGCAGTAGCCCTAATTGCTGTGTCCCACCACTTGACATATGGCCAAGTGTCGTGCCGGGAGGGTATTTGTTACATAGCCTCTCAATTTCCGCGGGCTCCAGCAATTGGCGACTGCGAAACGGATACGATGGCGGGCACCCAATGGGCCAAATGAATGGCTGTCGAAGCTAATCGAGGATGTCTGATATATGCGGAGGTAGCCATCATGGATAATCAGCGCTTAAGGCGGCGCTGATGTATTTACCCTAAGAAGATTTGTGTTGAGTGTGCCGAAAGATGGCTAAGTTAATAAATCGGTGGCCTTGGCTGGAGTATCTCAAATAGATATTCCTTAAATGAATCGTGAAAAGTGAAGCATGTGTAGCGTGCAAATTGACTCTATTTTAATGTACTGCCTTGGCAACCAGTGATGATTCATGGTGCCTGGAATTGCTCGATATTTCTGGGCTACATCAAATTCCCAAACCGCGCAGCATAATCTTGGCCCAATCAACACCTCGTTGATATATCGGGCGATTTGCGCAGATCTCTGGCCACCAAAGCCCTGCATTAATCAGGCAACACATTCGCATTCATGTGGATTGTCGAGGAATCCCCGCCCCACCCACCGCAACACGCGCCCCGAGTTTTCCGAATTTTCCGACGAACGGGACGGGACCCTTCAATCTCTTGGCCACTCACACACACAGCACATGTTGGCCAATTATGCGCACTTCTCACTTAAATGGCTCATCAAATTTGTTTCAAATTCAGTTTCACATGGCGAATGGCATTCCGATTTCCCGATCGCTTGATCTTTTCCCCATCCTAATGAACTGAAGAGCAATGCATTTGAAACCATAATGTAGATATAATGGTTTTTAGAATGAAGCAATAAAACGGGGCTTTCCTCATTAAGCGCACAATTTGGCAGTTTACAAATCATAAGAGTTCCTAATTTGTGTGCCAAATTTTGTTCGCCCTCTGATTTTCGGCTTGCCATTTCGAACCCACTTACTTAACCCTTTAAACGGAAATGAATCCTGGGACGTGAACGGAAGTGTCCACATCACCATATCACATGTCACTCAAGTTTTCTCACAGTTTTTCTGCAATGTTTTCGAGTGCCGGAAATCGGTTTCGGTCACTTGACCAGCGACCAAACTTTTGATCCCCATCGCGTTTTCTTCAATATTAGTTTTAACCCCAATTTTCTGTCCCACAAATAGCTTTGAATTATGATATCTGTTTTGGAGGTGGAAATCTACCATTATTGGCCTTTTTCTAAATTTCTTAATTGGTATTCTGAAATCAAGAACATTTGCACACAAATCTTTTAAAACATTTCAACAATAGTACTAAGCTCATGGCGTCATCCCTTCGGTTGTCGCCTTTTTCCACTTTAAAGTGAAATGCTTTTGGGGGAGCACAGAAACATAAAGTTTTAATTGCTTTTGTTGACGAGCTGGCCATAAAGCAATTGACATTTATCTATTTAATGCTGTCGCTTCCTTTTTTCTGCGCCAACATGAGCAAGTTTGTTTATTAATTAAGCCCAATTCCCAGGGGATCAAAGGAGTGGGTCTCGAATTACGAGCGACAGCCTCCCTTTCACATATGGGAAAAAAACAAAAGGCTGAGTGGCTATAAATCATTTTAATTAGCATTTTGTAGCATACTTCAAGGCGTCGTCGATTCCCTTCACGCATGTGTGTGTGTGAGCTTTCTCCGCATGTCTATCTCCGTGTGTGTGTGTGTGAAAAATTTCACTTTGTCAAAAGTTGTCCAGCGGAAGAAGTTAGAGGCCGAGTGAATTAAGTTGCTGGCCAGAACAACAAAACGGCCAATTAGACTCCAGCCAACCCAGCCCATTTCCCCACTTTCTCCACGGTGGACGTAGACAGCTAGGGCCAAGTTGTTAGCAACTAGCAGCACTAATTACGTAAACTTAGGAGCATTTTTGACTGTAACACAAAATAAAAATGTTCAAGTGACTTGAGAACGCAGAATGAAAACATGTTGGTATAGTGAAACCAGTTTAATAAATATGCTCATCATTCAAGGTATTCTAAATGAATTACTATATAAACTATTACAAATACATACTTTTATTTGAATGGTATTTTTCTATGTCAACTAGTTGGTGTTTGACCACCGCTGTATTGTCTTATATGCGGATTTTCGCATGTGTGTGCTGGTGCTATCTGATTAACTGACCCATCCAAGCCTGCCCAGAAATGATTTCTCATATCGAGGCCAATTTGCTCCTTGGCCCTGAACACCAGAACGCAGTTCAAACACCAGAACACAAGCCAAAAGCCAAAAGTCAGGAACTAGGCACGGCCCAAAGGACGCCTCTGCTTTTCCGCTTTTCCGCGTTTCCACCGCGGATGTTTGCAGCAGGAAAAACAAAGGCAAAAGGAGCTGAAGGGCAGAGCCCGAGGAGGGAAACGCTGAAAAATCACGTCAGGCTGACATTAGCAGCACATTTTGACATTTTTCTTAGCCAACCAGCAAGCTCAGCGGTTAGTTGGCAAAAAACAAGCATCAAGCATCTAAAGCAAACATTTTCCTGATGTATTTCGTAGTTTTGCCTAACAAATTAAATTATGCGCTGTGACCACAAGTGATGAAATACCTCAAGTCCATTTGACCGGGTTTGTTGATGAAATCCTATGGTCCAGCGCCCAAAGCTATGCAACACTTTTTCGAGGCCAGCTTCTTGCAAATTCCAATCATGTACGCCCATTTGCCGAGCCCAAAACTTTCCGAAATTACCGAACAATGACAAACCAAGCGATTCGCTGTGACCCATGAGGGGTAAAAAACAAAGTCTGACCGAAGTGTTTAAGTGTATTAAGTGCGAGCTCTACGTCCTTGCAACGCATGTGGCATACAAAGCGGCACTCGATTTGCAGCCGCAAAGGGGCACAGATCACATCGAATCGTTTCGAGGGCGCAAAGTGGAAAGCCATCAGCAATTTAACACGCAAGAAGGAGCCGGCCTCTTTGTTTTACATGAGATACAAATTATTCTTGGCCAGCGGCCAGGAAAACAAATACAAACTGAATGAAAGTGTGCACATCAAGTGGGTGGGTGGGTTGGATTGGCTTGAGTTGAGTTGAGTCGAGTTGAAGAGCCGTAAAATTATTAACAAATTACGCGGCGACAGGCAGGTGACAAGAATGGGACAGATTTATGCGGCGAGTCGCCGCCAAGTGTGAAATGAATTTACGAGTGTATCCAAAAAAAAAATCAACAGATTCTCCGGCGTGCGTGTGCCATCCAAAAATACAAAGTGCATATGCATCGAATTGACTCACTGGGGGAATCTCGTTAAGTTGCATCGGATCTGTATATAAGGCATGGTATATAGTTGATATACACATGATATCCAGGTCACCAAGTGCAGGGGGCAGTTGGCCCCGATCCGCCAGAGAGCTGCATCCATCAATCAATCGTTGCTGTCCCAGCCAGTTGGTTCATCGCACTTATCAGTTGTTACTTTTGATGGCTTGCTTACGCGATGCGATTTACTTTTTATATAAATCTGGCCAGAATGTGGCGAATTTACGTACTTAAGAGTGCGAAAATTGATGGTCGGCCATTTGACACGAATGTTTTCGCAGCAACTTTTGCAGCAAACCATTTAATGCGATGCGAAAGTTGATCGTAAACTTTTTGGAAAATAAGCCCTGCAGATGGACATATTTTTTAACATTTTTATCATTTTTTAAATGCAACCTATTCAAACCCATTCACTTTAAAGCACTGATTCTTTTTGATTTCAAACCTATTCACTATGATTCTCTTTGCTTTTGAGTAAGCAGCTGTTTCTTTTGCAGGCCAAAAATATTTCTGCAAGATTTTGTAGAAATTTTTTGCCAGTCATTTTCCATTTTGCGTCGCCAAGGAAATTCCATTGCATTTTCCGCCAGACGGACACTATTTACATTCGCCAGTATTTATTTGCCATTTAAATGTTCGTGCTTTTTCCCCGATTTTTCCTACTTATCCCACACTTTTTCGATTGCAGAGACGTCACTGTTTGTGGGCGGGGCACAGCGCACACGCCCCTGGACACTAGCAACAATTAACCCCTGACCTCCGACCCCCGACCCCGATCACTACCACTTTCATTTTCCGCATTGTTT